TTTTAAAATATTTTTTCAAAGAAAAGTATCACTGAAATTTTCATAGGAATTACATTAAATTTGTATATCACTGTGGGTAGAGTTGAACTGTTTTGTTAAATTTTGAGTTGCAGTCTTGCTCCGTCACCCAGACTGGAGTGCAGTGGCACATTCCCTGCCACCGCAGTCTCAACCCACTGGGCCCTGGTGATCCTTCCGCCTCAGTCTTCCAAGTGGCCAGAATTACAGTCATGCACTACCATGCCTGGCTAATTTTTTTGATTTATTGTAGAGATGAGGTCTTCCCAAGTTGCCCAGGCAGGTGTCAAACACGTGGGCTCAGGCAATTCACTCACCTCGGCTTCCCAAAGTGCTGGGATTACAGGTTGAGTCACCGAGCCCAGCCAGAATTGACCTCTTAATTATATCTTTTGATTTTTGTTGAGTTGGCATCTCACCATGCTAGAGTACAGTGAAATGATCATTGTCTCAAAACATCCTCAAATTTCTGGGTTCAGACAACCCTTCTTCTTCAGTCTACGGAATAGCTGGGATGACAAGTATGTGCCACCATGTTGGCTACCTTTTTATTTTTTACTTTTTGTGGATCAAGGTCTTGCTATGCTTTGTAGACTGGTCTTGAACTCCTGGGCTCTTAGCGATTCACCTACCTCAACCTCCCAAGGTGCTGGGATAACATGCATGAGCCATCACACTCAGCCTAAATCTCCTGACTCGAGAGTGTGTTGCTTAACTTGCATGCATTTTTTTTTTTTTTTGGAGTTGGAGTCTCATGGTGTCCCCCAGGCTGGAGTGCAGTGGCACGCTCATGTCCACCACACCCTCAACCTCCTGGGCTCAGGTGATCCTTCCACCTCAGCCTTCCAAGTAGCTGGAACTGCAGGCATGCCAACATGCTGGGTTAACTTTTTGATATATTGTAGAGAGTAGGTCTTCCCATGTAGCCCAGGCTGGTCTTCAACCATAGTGCTAGAAGCCAACATGCCCAGTCAACACTCTATCTCTTTACACCTCCTGCCACTTTATTAATGTCACAAAGGCATGTTTTATAGTGTGTCTATTAAGAAAGATGTGTTCAAATGTTAAGTATTTTAAAATTCTATAGTAGATTATGAGCATTTAGACACCGTCATGATAGCAGAGCATTTCCTATTTGAATATACATTAGCAGAGCTTTACATTTTTATAGGTGTAGTGACATGGTTCACCATTGTTTTATTTTTCAAGAGAAAAATTCCCTTGAGTATTTCTTGTAGGGAAGTTTTAGAAGAGACAAACACCCTCAGTTTTGCTTATTTTGGTAAGTCTTTATTTGCCCCTATATTTCAACTACAGTTTTTCCAGATCTTGTACTGTTGAGTCTACATCTGTAAATTCTGCCTCTCTGGATTCAACCGATGAGGGATCCAAAATATTTTTAAAAAATAGATTGATGCATTCTGTCATCAGGATATTGGTCTGCTCAATGATGTACAATAAGCCCCATAGTCTATATGTTTTTTATATTTAATAATTTTGTATTCCTGTCTCAAAAATTATAAATGACACATTTTTAATTTTCTGAACTTTTTCGTGTTTGTGACTATTAGGCCCCTCTAGTTAATTTTTTAAAATTCAATTATTGTACGTCAGCTTTACTATTTTACTGAATTGTTTATAGTTTTACTTTATATTGGTTTTCTGAATTTCTTCATGTAATTTTTCTATTTCTTTAAGTCTATGTTCTGTTTCACTTATTGAGCAAGTTTCAGAGAATTATTTTGAATTTTTTCAAATAATGCATATACCTTAATTTCTTTAGGGTAGGTTAATTTATGTAAATTTGTTTCTTCAATTGGAATATGAAAATGTAAGACTCAGCTACTGATTCCAGTAATTAATAGTCTAGCTTTTTACACGGAAAGGCTAACATTGAATCACCGGGCTATAGATTCTGGGTGCTTCTCAACAATGATGTCAGGATATGTTGGCTCTATTTTCTGACTTCTAAAGATTGTCTCATTTCATTTTTAGATTCTATAATCTTTGGATCTCTAGTATACTGTCTGTGGTATTAAAGCTTTTCCGGTGCTGTAAAAAAAATTAATTTTTTTACTCAATAGATACAAACCTGTCATCCATAACACGCCCTCATTTTCTTCAGTACTCCATGTCAGGGTGACAAAAAACCAGACAACAGATATCTCCACAACAAGCCAAAATTTTGAAAATATGATCCATTCTTCTAGGTCTCTCCAGAAACAGATATGAAGAGTTGGGAGTTTTCTCCTGAGCCCACCGTGCTGTTCTGAGAAAGAAGAGATCATGTGGCAGACAGACTCCTAGCCACATCTGGTCACCTTTCTGGAGAAAAGAGCCCTGAAACATAAAGGAGAGAAGAAGATAGTTATACACTCACATCAATGGGAATACCTGTACCAGTGACAGATGAAAGGCCAAAACATCCATGAACAAGCCAGACTTTAAAATTTGGTTGGTTAGCTGGGCATGGTAGTGTACGCTTTAGTTTCAGCTCCTTGGAAGGCTGGGGCAGAAAGATCACTTGAGTCCAGAAGGTTGAGTCTGGTGGCCAGGAGCATGCCACTGCATTCCAGTCTGGGCGACAGACTGACACTCCAACTCAAAAAAAAAAAAAATGTGGTTTGGGAAGCTCTGCTCTGATGAGAATAATTTTGAGAAGCCTAGGTTTCTATATCTTACACAAAGAGACATCTCTGTTTACCCTTATGCTCTTCAATCCTACATCATCTGTTTTTTCAGTGCCCTTTCCAGCACATTCAGAGTGAGAGCCAAAGTTCTCATGTCTTGTGAGGGACTTCATGATCTGACTGCTCATCCATTGCTTTGAGGGTTTGGAGAAAATCTGGGTATATTTCTTGGGTTTCTTCTTTCAAGTCATTTAAAAAGTTCTGTTTATGACTCCTGTCTGAAGTGCATAAGGGGAATAGTGACGTTTTGGATATTTCATTCAGAAATCTCAAGAACACTAGATACAGATATGTGATGTGTTTTCTGCATTACAATATCTAGTTTTATGGAGTCTTCCAAACATAATCCTATAGGAGTTTGGACTGAGTCATTTTATTAGGGCACAAAGCATGATAATAAATTTCTAAAAACAATCCATTATCACATTAAAATTTTTATTTTCTTAGTATGAACTAAGCTTGGAAGTTTAAAATTTATTTGGCTAAATATGTCTAGTATAAAATAGAATAATGTATCTATTCACCTCTTAGCATTCCTAAAGAAATTAATGTTGTAGATAAATCTAAAACATTGCCAAGCATATACTCAAAAATTTGTTGCCTTTTGTTCTTTAAACTATCATTTTATAACTTTTGCTCTTTTATTAAACAGAATACTAGAACTAACTTATCTGCTTTAAGTATTAAATTTGCAGTATATTAGTTTACATATTAGTTTTAAGACTAATAACTGAAATAACATGTTTGAATTTATATATCATGTAAGAGGTGAGTTAGATAATTAGTAAGCCTTCCACTTTGGTTTAAATATTCAATTTTTGTTTATTTCATGTCAAAATTATTACCACTTCCTGTCACTTGACTCAACCTGTATTTGAAAAATAATATTATGTATTTCAAATGATTCTCCTTATACATCAGTGTGTTATACCATATTTTATAATGTTCGTGTTGCCTCCAGTATTTATAAATGTGAGTTTTTTCTTCATTCTTAAAGCCTAAGTTACCACTTTCCCTTTTGTGTAAAAATAAAAGTATATTTATAACATAGTAAAAAAGATTCTGTAGTATCATTTAAAAGCTTATGTCTTAAACTTTTCTCATCAAATCTTTTTATGAGTAATTAAAACTATTTTTAATAATTTTTAATATCAGTAATGTAACTACATGTTAATGATTCATGTCTGTTTTTCATGAATGCCCAACCAAAGTTGAAAACTGTAGTTATGTAAAAGATTGTTGAAGCAGTGCAACTATGTTTATGTATGATTTTATGAGTTATGATTTCTCTTATAATTTTTATGTATCTACATTTTCATATTTTTATGTTAACAGCATTCTCTCTTCTCATATCACATGATTATGTTCATGTATCACTTAATTATAGTAATAATAACCTATTATGACTTCAGATACCATGTTCAACTATGTAGAAGTCTGTTTTAATTGAGAATGGGGGACAAAATTCAAATATAAATCACAAACGTGTCTTTTGTCAGTAAGATTATGTAATAAGCACTTACATGTTTGTATACCTTTTATGTTTGTTATAATACATATAATTCTTGGTTAGTGGTCAGTTTATCTTATCTAGGTGAGTGGTCATGGAAATTCTACTTTTATCACATGTTTATCAATGAGTATATACCATTTTTGTGCATGAAACACTTTGAATTTAGTTGTATGTACCTCTTACTACTGGTTTATTTTAGTTAAAATAATCCCCTCCAGATTTATTCTAAATGTAGATACTATAAGATATCCTGCTTTTTTGTGTGTGTTGGCATCTCAGTCTTGTCACCCAGGCTGGAGTACAGCGGCATGCTCATGGCAACTGCAGCATCCATCTGCTGAACTTAGGCAATTCTTCCAACTCAATCTTCCAAGTAGCTGGAACTTCATATGCATGCCAGCATGTCCCGCTGGTTTTTGTGATTTATCATAAAGTCAAGGAATAACCAAGTTGTCCAGGCTGGTCTCAAACCCGCAGGTTCAGGCAATCCTCTTGCCTCCGTCTCCTAAAGTGCTGGGATTACAGCCTGAACTACCCTGACCAACAAATATCCTGCTATTTAAAGGCTGAATAATATTCCATTGTTTGTGCATTTCCAATTGTCTTCTTTGATGAAAGATGTTTGGCTCGTTTTCAACTGTTAACTTTTGTGAATAACTTTGCAGTAAATATCAGTGTGCAAATAACCCTTCCATTTGAATGTAAATGCAAGGATTTATTTCTCTTTTGTATACTTTTCAGTTTAACTGTCTGCCTTATGACAGCACAACTGTTTCAATTAATGTGCATTTTCATGGAACTTCATGGTTAGATTCGAATTTTAGCGTTGCTCTTTTTCTATTTCTGGAAAAAATGACGGAAAATTTGGAAAGAATTATGTTGAATCTCTCGATCACTTTAGTTAGTATGCATATCTTCTCAGTCATGTGCCAATTCAGGATGTTTCTTGCCTCTTGCAACACTACCAGCTAAAACATGCATGCTGATGTGTTTACAGAACACTTACATGGTGCTGAAAGCTTGTAGTACTGGGGGCTGTCTCTCCAGAAAGATGATTGCAGGATGTTTTTTTGTTGCCCTTGTCTACCATTTGGAGAAATTTATAACCAATTTTGTGATATTTTCTAGAATATTTAGTTTTCAATGGGAGGAACTTCCATTAACATTTTTTGTAGGGGTCGGCTTGATCAAATTTTTTCCATTTTGAAATTGTTTTATTTTGATAGACAGTTTCACTCGACATGGTTTTCTGTTTGTAGCTTTGTTCTTTCAGCATATTGGCTCTATAACTCAAATTCCTCTGGCCTGCAACACTTCTACTGAGATGTCCACTGATAATATCATGGGAGCATCATTGTATATGATGTATCAATGTTTCTATTTTTCTTATAAGCATCTGTACTTCTCTGTGCCTTTTGAATCTTTTTTAGTCGAGTCTCAATCTGTCATCCTGGCTAGAGTGCAGTAGCACACTCATAGCTACTATAGTCTTGGCCTGCTGAGCTCAGTCAATCTTGGGCCTCAACCTTCCAAGTAGCTGGGAATACCAGTGTGTGGCACCATGGCCAGCTAATTTTATTTTAAATGCAAGGTCTCAGCATGTTTGCAAGGAGGGTTTGAGACTCCTCACTCAAAACAGATAAATGGCTTCATTATGACATCCACTGGCATCTTACCCTGTGGCAGGGCTCAGCTACAGATCTCTGACCCACATCTTCTGGGTGGTTCCATCTGTCAGTGCCCAGCCATTGCGGCAGGTGACGGTGTAGCCGGGTGCCAGCCAGTTGTCCTGAGGCTGCTGATCTCTGCTGTCTTTTCCTGGGAGGTGCTCTGGGAACGGTAGATGCTTCTGTGCTTAGCCAGTGCTGAATTCACAGAAGCAACAAATTGTGGTTGTTTCTGAAGGGGGGTCTTGGACACTTGATCCCATGTCTACTGTCAGTTGGACATTCACTCACCTACTGGCATAGACAGATGGATGTAGATTGGTGTTTATGCAGTCTTACCTGTACAGAGACACTCACACTCCAACCAGTTCCACCACCATCATGTCCTCCTGTCCCTCTGTGGTTTCCTAAAGTCACATTTCTACAGAAAATCTGTCCAGGCATTTCTACCTCTCTGGAAACATCCCTAAATGTCAACAGCCCCTGAAAATTACAACAACATATATGTGCCAAGTTGGCATATGCTCTAGGGAAAAAGAGACAGTGAAGATAACAAGTTCTAACTGATATGTCAATGGGACTATTCCAGTAAGATAATTTTTTTTTATTCAGAGCCCCACTCTGCCACTCAGACTGAAGTACAGTACCACGCTCAAGGCCACCCCAATGTCCACCTGCTGGGTTCTGGTGATCCTTCTGCCTCAGTCTTTCTAGTAGCCAGAACTGCAGATGTGGGTTTCCATGCCTGACTAATTTTTGATTCATTGTAGAGACAAGATCTCACCAAGATACCAGGGCTAGTCTCAAACCCATGGTCTCAGGCAATACACTCACCTCACTCACTCACAGTACCTCCTCCCAAAGTGCCGGGATTGCAGGCTGAGGCAGAGCCCAGCCAAGATAATTATTTTACACAGAAATATTCTCTAATGCATTCTTTAACACTCAGGGGAAAGGGTGAAGTAAGATCGACTCAGCCAGTGTAGATACTATACTTTTGTCAATGATTTGGTATAAAATTTGGTCACCATCACAGGCATGTATATTTTTGATTGGTATATTAACTTTACACAAGATAAGTTGTATATATTGCTCAGATTAAAAAGTCACAGTGCATTAGAAGGTCCTCCTCGAGTTTTAATGTATACAATAATAAACTGTACATTGTTAAAATGCAGATTCTGAAACAGAAGGTCTGGGGAAAAGCCTGAGTTCTTCATTTTTTTTAGTTGGGGTCTCATTTGGTCAACCCATGAGTTTAGTGGCACAATCAGATCCTGCAGCCAAAACCTGCAGCCTCGTAAGTAGCTGGGACTACTGAAAAGCACTACCATACCAGGGCTAATTCATTGATTTTTTTATTTTTATTTTTGGTTGAGATGAGATCTGTCTATATTGCCTAGGCTGGCCTCAAATGCCTGGGATCAAGCCATTTTCCCACCTCAGCTTCCTAAAGTGTAGGCCTGATATTTTGAATTACTTTTTTGAGTTGGAGTCTCACTCCATACCACAGACTGAAGTGCAGTAACACACTCACAGCCACTGTCCTGCTGGGTTCAGGTGATCCTTTTGCATCAGTCTTTCAAGTAGATGGAACTACAGGCATGCACCACCATGACCGGCTAATTTTTTGATTCATTGTATAGATGAGGTCTAACTAAGTTGCCTGGGCTGGTCTCAAACTCATGGACTCTCTCACTTTATCCTTCCAAAGTGCTGGGATTATAGGTACAAGCCATCATGCTGGGACGACATTCTGAATTACTAAACAAGCTTCCTGATAGTGAAAAGGACTATGGTCAAGGAGAATATTTTGGGAAATATACACCAAGTTCCAGAGGCTGAGTTTATCTCAATATATCTGACAGTGAACAAAGATGAGTCTTCATTTTGTAAAGCAGGGTATATGCAAAAAGAATTTGACAAGAAAGGAGAGCTTCCAGATTAAACATGATGATCTTTGTTAAAACGCTCCAAGGAATATAATAATAAAGAAAAAATAAATACAGTGAATAAACATGTCAGATGGCACCTTAACCAAGTGAGTAAAATTAACACCAACTGTAATAGGACAAATTGTTATCAGTTGTCAAGGCACACAGATGACCCAACAGAAATGCTATGATATATTGGTTTTAAAATCGTACATTATAATCTGAATCTGACAATGAAGAAATATCCATTTTATGTAGAATTACACCTCCAGGTATCCAGGATGTTCTGTAATCTCTATTAGTGTATTTACATTGTCTTTTTAGCATCCTAGAGAGCAAGTCTCTTCTAATTATTTTTTATTCAGACCTTCCTGAATTACTTGAGGCAGTAACTGCCATCCTGTTTAAATGTCCATTTATTAACTGTGCTCTGCATGGAGCTGATGGAGCATCCT